CTGCAGTCTTTCCCTCCCTGCTAACGTGCCCACCTCACCCCAAATTTTGTTATCATCAGCAAATTTGAACAGGTTGCTTTTCACCCCGTCATCCAAATCGCTGATAAAGAAATTGAACAGTGCGGGCCCAAGGACCGAGCCCTGGGGGACTCCACTGCCCACTTCCCCCCAGGTCGAATATGACCCGTCCACCACCACCCTCTGAGTGTGACCCTTCAGCCAATTAGCAATCCATCTGACTGTGTAGGCATCAATGCCACAGTCGCCTAGTTTTTTAATGAGGATGGGGTGGTCGACAGTGTCAAAGGCCTGAAGTCCAGAAAGACTACATCCATGGCAACACCTGCATCCAATGCTTTTGTGACCTGATCGTAAAAGGCAATCAGGTTGGTCTGACATGACCTGCCCCTAATGAAACCGTGCTGGTTGCCCTTGAGTATCATCCCCGATGCCGGCCCATCACAGATGTGCTCCTTGATGATCTTCTCAAAGAGTTTCCCCAGGATTGAGGTAAGACTGATGGGCCTATAGTTGCCCGCGTCCTCCCTCCTCCCTTTCTTAAAGATGGGGACCACATTGGCTATCCTCCAATCATCTGGCACCTGGCCTGAGCACCACGAGCACTCGTAAAGCCGTGCCAAGGGCCCAGCAATAACCCCTGCTAGCTCCCTCAACACCCTGGGGTGGAGAGCATCTGGACCTGCTGATTTGAACACGTCCAGCCCCTCCAGAAGCACTCTAACCCGGTCCTCCTCAACCTTAGGTCTTGAGGCGTTCCCCTCGAGTTTGTCGTGAACCCTTGTTGTGAATCACTGGTCTAGGGACATCTTGAGGCGTTCCCCTCAAGTTCATCGTGAACCCTTGTTGTGAATCACTGGTCAAGGGACATCATCCTGTCTCTGGCTCATGATAGCCTCTCTGCTCTGAGTAGCAAGCAAGAGGGGTGACCATGTGCAGTGATACAGACCCTTTGGCATGGGACTGGGATTCACCAAACTCATTTTATATAGGCCCCTACGCAGCAACAGCTTCATAGCCCCTGGAAATCAAAGATTTCATATCCTCCTAGAACCATGTTGCTGTCCATTTACCACCAGCTGCTTTTATTACTTACCCCTTATGCTTAGACCAAGGATACAATTATATTCTAGAGAAGGTGAAATGAAACGGTCAAGCGACTGCTTGCTTGCTTGATTTTGAAGGAATTGGTGAAGCTGATGTCCTGAGATACAAAGAATTAATATTGATGCTTGGATGGTGCTGTTAGTTGCAAGACTGCTGGGTGCTCCTGTGACACAGGTGAATATTAATTTCATTTTTTACAGATGTGGAAAATGAAGCACACCGAGGGGAAGTGACTCGTCCAACTACTCACAAGCAAATCAGTAACCGAGCTCAGGAGGGAACCCCAGAGTTCTGGCTCCCAGCCCTGCGCTCAGACTGTCTCTTGATTACAAAAACACCTGATCTCAGAAGTCTGTCAGGGTTGTTTCCCCCCACACCTATTTTTTAATGTAAATCTGTTGTTCTGCGTGCCCGAATCACTGTTGTTTGGTGGATTAGACCTCTTCCACTCCTGCTCTGCATCCTACAGCATACGGTTCTATCCATGATGATCTGTCCTCATCAGAGCTGAGGGTCCTGATGACTGTAGGTTTGTTTCAGATCAGGATTGTGGTCCAGAGCCTTTCAGGGCTAAGTATTCTCGATTCCCATTGGCTTCAGTTGCCACAGGGATGCTCAGTCTCCACCTCAATTCTGTTGTTGCCGTTGTGATTTTTTTATTTGTATTTATTGTGTTTTCTTTCCTTTCAAGAAGAGAGAAACCACTGCTAGAAATGAGGCAAAAAGCCTACACTTACATACACCCCATCCCCCACAGCTAAGAGGCTGGAGCAATTGTTTAGGCTCGCCCTGTAGCCTGTTGCCCTCTTTATGCGTGTACCATCTTGTGGGATTAGACTGGCTAGGGAAGCTGCAGATGTGTATTAATGAGCAAGCTCTTGATCAGGAGCACACGCTCCAGTGCTTGCCAGTTTGGTGCAGGGGCTTGTCAGAAAGCCTTGATTCATCTAGATGGTGATCCTGTTGGGTAGGATCAGGCCCTGCTCCAGAGTGTGCCTGTGGCTAAAACCCCTATCTGATGATTCAGAGTAAGGTGACTGCTTCATAGCATGGCTTACTTATATCATGGCCAAGCCTTGAGACCCAGCTGAGATCTAGCCTTCATTGCACATGTTGATATCATGAAGGACAGTCCTTTCCTCAGCTGTCTTGTAAACAAAGGAAATTAATATTCCCATTTTGCAGACCGAAAACTGAGGTGTGGAGATTTTCCAGCAAAGGGAGACAGGACTCCATATCCTGGTGCCATGCCTTAATTGTAAAGCCACCTCTCTCCACTCCTTCCTGACTTTTAATGTCATCAGCTTTAGTCCCTGAAGCCTGAGAGTTGCTTACCTGAATAGGCAGTTATGGATCTCAGTTGAGGGATGTGATCAAAGTATCCAAAGAACATCCGGCTTGTTGTCAGCCAAAGCAGTATAGGCCTCTGAATCATGTTGGCATTTACTCACAGTTATTAATGCAGTATTTATAGTGGGGTATAGCTTGCACTTCAAATATACCTAGCAACGTATGGTCCCAGACTTGAAGAGATCCCAGCATAACTGAGAGGAACCCAGAAGAGACTGAAGGCTGCCACAACTGACAGCACAGAGATATGGGAGCAGGGTGGTGTTAGCTTAGTCTTAGTGTCTGAGTGACATGGGATAGGCTTATCGACCTACATGGCTTTTTGCTTCCTGTAGTCTTGGAGGAAGCTCTGGAGGTAGTTTGAGGATACATCAAGATTCAGTGGCAATGGCATGGAGCAGGCCGACCTCTCTCTAATGTATTTTAACAATCCTCACAGCAGCAGGACATTGGCTGCCATAGTCCCTTTGCTTTAACTGTAGCAGGTAAGGGTGTTATGCTTTGTGGTTGTGTCAGGGTTGACCATATAGATTTACGAATAGGTTGGACAACGTGTTTGGATAGGGATGATCCTGCCTGTGGCAGGAAAGTTGCACTAGATCACCTCTGGAGGTTCCTTCCAGCCCTACTCCTCTATGATTCTGTGATCCTTCATCCCCCACTGTCCATAGGGCTGCTCTGAAGTGATTCAGTGTGCCCAAACTTGATATGAATAGGCATTAAGGCATTCAGCACTTTGCAGGATGTGACCCTTAAGCCCTAATTCTGAGCTGTGCTTTTTATGAGGCATAATCCAGTGGTGGGGAAAGGTAATTCTGAGTTACCTTTGTACCGCACAAAATCTGAGCTGGGCCAGGGGCTGCTCTAATACAGCCCCATGTTGGCCATGTTACCAGGCAAGAATAGCTGGAACACATGGCATTTGGGCAAACCTCCTTTTTCACTGTGCCTTCTGACTGGACCCAGCCATTTTCCTGGCATGCCCCTCTACCAGTGCTGCAAAGCACTATCCTGGAGCTCCAGGGCTACCCACACAACCCCGCTGCACAGCAGAGCTGTTCCTTGGGGCCAGTTTAACTGGCTTTGCAACCCATGCATGCCCGCTGAGCTGGTGCACAGGTGACACAGCAGGCTTCAGAATCAAAGTCAATTATTTTATTACCTGGACTCGCCCTGCTGGCTGTGAGATTGCCACCAGGAAATGGCTGCCTCCTTTTCTAATGTGGCAGCCAATACTTTCCAACACCAAGCTCCGGCTCCTTGAAGCAGAAGCTTGGTGTTGGAAGGTGGAGGAATAACAAAGCTGATTGATTTCAGAAACACATTCATCCTGATTTGACTTGTCTCTGGCAACCTTCTCTACTCTAGGTCTGCAACCAAGGCAGTGTAGATGCAGTGTCTACCACAAGCAGTGTAGATGCAGTGTCACTGCTTTTAGATCAGGGGTGGCCAATGTGTGGCTTGAGTGCCATGAGAGGCATGGGCAGCCTCTGTGTAGCATGTGGTAGATGAGGGAGGGAGCAGGGAGCATAGGGGTAGATAGGGCAGGGAGAAGAAAGCGAAGTAGCAGATTGGGCAGGGAGCACAGGGCAGAAAGCAGAGCAGCAGATCAGGCAGGGGAAGGGGATTAGAATAGCCCTGCACCCTTCCAGAGTGCCAGTTTTGTGCCATGCCTGCCCAAAAGGTTGGCTCCCACTATTCTGGATAAATCCTTTGAGACCCAGATCCTCTTGGGTCCAAGACCTGGTGGGTGGCACCATTTGGAAGGAGAGCTGCAATAGGAAACCCTGCAGTCTGGGTGCTGCAGTTCTCCCTAGCTCCTGAGCATTTTGTTTGGGCTCCAGATACAATTTGCTAGAAGTGGTTCAAGTCAAGACACCCCTGTTTGGAGCTGGTAACAGGTCTTGGTGCACTGGTCAGTACAAGATAGGCCTGGTTCCCTGCATCTAAGGACTGCATTTTCCTTGCATGACTCAGGTGGTAAAGCCAGCTACATTTATGATGGGATCCCAACTGAAGAGGCTTAGGAGGTTCTGTGGCACTTGGGAGGTGGTGGTGGTTTGTACTGAGGGTTGATAGTTTGTACTGGTGGAGAAGGGGAGTGGGGTTGCAGATTTAGTCTAGAGTGGAGTGTCCACTGAGAGGTAGTAAACAGGACATGGAAGAAAAGGTTGGGGGTAGGGACTGAGGAAAATGTAGTGAGTACCAAAACTTCCATTTAGAAAGGGGGAGGAGCAGGCCTGGCAGGGGGGGGAATGCATGGGCACTCAGGTAACAGATAGGTTATGGGGGGCTGAGGTGGGACAGGGAGAAGCACAGAGATTTAAAACATGCAGGAAAAGTCACGGGCGGGAAAGGAAAGCAGGGGAGAACCCTTACAGACACCCCCACGGTTCATTAGTGTTCTCCCACCCCAGCCTGGAGCATGGTGTTGAACTGTGTTTTGACCTACCTTGAACCACAGCATAAAAATCACGCCCATTAGCTGCTCGCCGCTAAGATCACCTCTGGCTTATTAGATTGGCAGACTGGTGCTGGAGTGAAGGGGACTGTCTACGTGTGTGGTGGCTGTTCCCAGAAGGGTTGCGGGTTCAGACTCTTGGGCAGTCATTCTATCTGCCAAGGGGCTCGCGGGTTGGCACTTGCATTAAAAGGATTAGTGATTTGGGGGCTCAGCAAACAGCTCCAGTTACAGAGACAATACATACTGGCTCAGAGGGAGAAGAGGGTGTTTTGCACTGCCCCCTCCCTTCTTGGGCCAATTCAGGAGCAATGCTGCTAAGATCCTCATCTTTGACTTGAAGGATGGAGGTTCAGGGGAAGGAAGAAAGCAGTGTCTGGCTTCCGGGCTTGATGCTGCAAGATGTAGAGCAGTTCCTGAAAGAGGGTTGAGCATCTGCAGCTCAGTTTAGCAGGATCAGGCCCTCATATAAGTGTTGTTAGTTGTTTAACACTTTCCATTTCTGTTCCTATCAGGGAGGCTGCCCAGCCCTGCTCAAGTCAGCTGGAAAACACCTGGCACAGAACCCATCTTCCAGGCTTGATCCTATACTTCAGTTGTATCTGATGCCCTCAGCCTGCATGGAGCCTCACCTGCTTATGTAAGCATCACTGCAGGATTGAGCCTTAAAATCTTCCCGCCATTAATCCTACCTATACAGGTTTGCTTTGTGTGAAATAATGGGTGGTTGAGCACTGCAGTTAGAGCATCTTGCAGTGGCACATATTGTACAAGGTGTGCAACAATTTTGCATAATACCCCCCCCCCAAGAATTGAGTCATTACAATGCACTTGGCAAATGCAAACTACTGAAATGGAACAATAACCAGGCGATGGAGGAAAAGAGCTCAACAGGAGATCTGTTTGTTATAACCGTGCATTCGATTTATTTTCTAGGCTCTTCAGCCACGATGCTTGCCGACTGTGTTGTTCCACTAAACAGATTCCAGAGTGACAACCATTTTCCTCAAGCTTTTGATCACTTCCTTTGGGTTTGGTTTTTATTTTGTTGTGATCCTTTAACCATTGATGGCAGTTATTGTACCTTAAGGTTTTGGGGTGTTTTTGCAGTGGGAAAGCACTTTGCAAGCAAGAGTCTGGTTCTCACATACAAACCAAACCTTTTTTGGAGACTTCTGGAAGCTGAGACAAGCCACAGCTGCAGAACAACATAATTGTTAATGAGCTAAGAAGGGTAAACTACTAAAAGGAACAGATCCGTGAAGGAGGAGCAAAATTTGCTGGAGTCACAAGCAGATTTTGTATGGTAGGGACTGGCAACTTTTTACAAGCCCCAGGATGGAACAATCTGGTTCTGGTCAAATGCAGGCTGAGTGGCTTTGGCAACTGTCAACAGCAGAGGGCTTCCCCAGCTCCCACTGGAGCCAGGCAGCTGGAAGCTTCTGCTTCTTCTCCCAACCCCTCACTCCTTGGCCATGGGGCAAGCAGTTTCCAGCTGGTGGGGATCTATGCCAGGGCCAGGCACCTGCAAACTGCATCCATGCTGCTGCCACTTCTCCCTGCTCCCTCTCCCCATTCCATCCCCTGGCTGCAGCATGGCCACAGCTGGAAGCTGTCCAGCCCCAATGCAACTCCCCACCTGCTAGAAACTGCACTTATGCCACAACTGGAGGGGGTAGAAGTGGCAGCAGTGCAGAGGCTGCCTGGCCCTGGCACAGTTCCCCATGGGTTGGAAGCTGTGCCTGGACCCTAACCAGGGCATTGTGGGGGGATGCTGAGAGAAGCAGTGGCAGTATGGAAGCAGCTCCCAGCTTCTCGGCTCTGGCACAAATGCAGGGGAAGCCCCTGCTGCTGGCACATCCCCGAAGCCACCCAGCCCATGTTGGACTGGGGCTGAGAGGTTGGGGAGAAGTGGCAGAGGTGCAGGCACAGCTAGAAGCTTTCCCAGTCTTGGTACAGCTCCTTCCTGCCTGGCCCTAGTATAGGTGTATGGTCACGGACACAGGGCAAAGCCCTCCAACTCAGCAGGCCACATCCAGCGACTTCTTGGGCTGGATCAGGCCACATGTTGTTAACCCCTGTGCTATGGTGTATTTCAGGACCTACGGCAGCTAGGAGCACAAAGTATTAATAAGATCAGGAAGTCTGTATTTCAGACCTGACGTAGTGGAGAGTTGGTTTACTGCGCATAGGCAGGTAATGTGCAAGCTTTTGCCCTGCCCAGCTCTTACATTGTACCTCCATCTGACCTGACAATTCCCTCTTGTGTTATAGGCCTGGGCCTCTCTGCAGCAGAGGATGCTAATCGGACTGAAATGTGGGGGATTTTTCTGGCACGCGGTATTCTAGGAATGAGCCAGCCTGCCCCTTTCCTCTGAACGTGACCTAATGCCAGTTCTAGATGCAAAACACATGTCTGCAGAAGGGTCTGGCCAGTGCATTAGCCAGTGGCATGTTTTTGCCCCTCTGTTCTCCTGTATCATATAGGAGATCACCCATTTCTCTTCTCTAGTGATATGTATTTTGAATGTGTGGGGGAGAGGGTACCTCACTCTCCTTAAAAGTCCTAAATAAGACTGTTATCTGTTTCTCTTTATTGCAACTTGCATAGGTCTGGAAAGCTGTGGTTCTTTGTGACACCTGACTGGCAAAAGCTCTGATCTTGGATATATGGGATTCCTTGTCTAGCAGAGCGATGTTTAAGGGTAAAGGTACTGCAAGATGGTAACACCTTATGCCCAGCTTATACGAGATGGACCTTAAAACATCCCATGTGGAACAGGCTTTGCCTTGGGTGTCTGTGCCAAAGCACCCCCTCCTCTCCTGCTCTTGAGTCACGTGCCAGTTGGCTTCTGCCCAGAGGCAGTGGTGTTTTGCTGGCTCTGTGCAGAGACAGGCTGCAAAGTGCTTTGGGATCCCTTTAGCATGAAAGTCGCAAAAGGAATGTAAAGTGCTGTTGTTAGTGATGAGGGGCCTGGTGCTCTGAGGGCTGTAGGCTGAGGGCAAGCTTACTTGGGCCCAATAAGGAACTTGTTAGAAGGAGCCTTGGGCAAACAGCTCTTCAGCAAGGTGGCAGGGAGCTCCCTGTTGGGCTAGGCCAGGCCCAAAG